TTCCATATTATACATCTGCCTTAGTTCTTTATTTATAGAGCCCTGATTAGAAGACTTCTAGACAAACTGGAAGAACTGCCATGGAAACTGTATACGTGACGTGGATCATAAATATATCAGCAATTAAACAACATCTTCAATTTCGGCTGACATTTATATTTGATCCAATTCGTAGATATGTTATATTTACACCATAACGGTGCACAGCTGATAGAAAAGGACTTACAGATATTGCTGATTTTCTTTGAATATAAGAATGTAAATACTGAGTTGAAAGAATAGTCAGGGGTTTTGGGTGATGGGAGACACATCTATGGACTCAGAATGTCAATAGCTTACCATTGAATGACGGATATACCTTTCTGTCTGTTTTACAAATCAGATATTAATGTGTAGAAGTAAAACATGTGAAATAATATAGCAATATGCTGTAAAATTATGTGAAAACATGAATAAAACTATACATATTCAGATGTTATACATACGTGCAGTGTTAACAATGTTAACTATGTTGAAGCACTTATTTTAACTGATATTATACACATTAATTATACTCTTATGTATGTAGATAGTATGAGAAATGTGCAGAATATGACAGTTTAATGGTGGAGGTAAACACATATTGATAGATGTCTTGTAATGCACTGTTGAGGAACCGGCGACCCAAGTTTTCATTCATTGCATAACTACACCGTAGTTGTGTATATGATATGTCAATAAACCTTAGAAAATCTTGAAATCTTGAAAGGGATGTACAAAATAGCCATTATATATAGTTTTTAATGAACTATTAGTAGAGAATAACAAGTAATTAATATACTTTATAGAGATCTGCAGATACAACTATCAAATATCTCTCCTGATTGTTGGCACTTGACAATCACCTTCCCTGAATTTTACTCAGGTGTAACTAAAGTCTGCTTTAAGGGTTGTTTATATTTCACATCATTAATCAGAATCTGCTGGTCCCGTTCGAATCCAGTTTTGAATAGCCTGCCGTGGTTTCGTTCCATTTCAAACAGTTGATTGACGCTCAGCGTAACCTTGGCGCACTGCCACTCCAACATCCAATCCCAGAGCTTGAAGATTAATCACAGGTACTGTAGTCCCAAACGATTGCTGGGGATTATGGGTAGTGTATTGTCTTCGGCCATCCTAAACTCCTAAAACATCCAATCACCGAGCTTAAACCATAGCTGAGGATCTTGGGTAATCAGTTCAGTGGCTGTGTATCGCAATGATGCTCGAAATGTCCCTTATAGGCCTACGTCTGTTTCCGGTTATTTTTATTTTGAAATTCAGTTCCTGACGGACGCCAAAAAAGCCAGAGATTATGGAATTAAACAAATAAATAAAAACATAGATAATTGTGTGTTATTGGTGAGTAAATAACAGTGTGTTATTTAGAAAAGAATAACAAATTAGAAGGAACAAAATATTTAAAAAATACAGATTTCAGTATTCCGAGTGTCAGGATCTGTCTGTGTTGTATTTTGTCTTGTCTTTTTCTGTCTTTTGTTTCATGTTTTATTTTGAAAGGTATTCACCTCCTGTTTTGCCTGTTTCTGTCTGTGTTGTGTTTTGTCTTGTCTAGATCTGTTTTTGGTTTTCTGTCTGCGTTGTGTCTTGTCTAGATCTGTCTTTGGTTTTCTGTCTGCGTTGTGTTTTGTCTTTAGATCTGTCTGTGGTTCCCTGTCGTTAGTTTCCCTGGTGTGTCTTATTACCAGATTGTGTGCACCTGGTGTCCCTGTGTTTTCTCCTCCCTCCTCACCTGTGTCTTGTTTTTTATTAGTCTTGTGTGTATTTAAGTTCTGGTTTTTCTGTCTGTCTTTGTCGGTTCGTCTTGTGTCATGACTTGGTCTTCGGTGAGTGAGTGTTCTGTTCTGTCTTTGTGAATAGTTTAGCCTTGAAATAAAGGAGTTATTTTTGACACTTTAATCTGCATTTGGGTCCTGCTTCCTACACACACCGTAACACCGAGGCTCTGAGCCCCATTTATTTTCCTCACATACGGCAAAAAAAGTCAGACATTATACGATATAAAATAAAAACATTGAGTAAGAACATGTTTTTATGAACCCCACAGCTTCCGGTCTTCCAAGACCCGACCGGACAAAAAGACGTGTTGCAGGCACGAAACATACTACCAATAGAAATACATAGCTTTTCAAATCGTTCTGTGTGACACGAAAAAAAGGTGAAAATCTCGTTGGTGAACACGAATCAATAGATGAAATGTCGTGACTATAACACGAAATACCGTGAGACTGGGTTGAGTTATCTGTAGTTTATCCTCCCTAATTTCAAATATGATACAACAAAAAGAGTCATTGTGTTCTTCATATACCTTTTGTTGGGGCATAATTTGCTTAGGTATTTAACCTTTGACACAGTTAATAGTTTTCTCCTTTCACTGTCTCTTTTCCCACGGCATAGGTCTACGGCCTTGGGTATTGCTGCTATCTCTCTTAAGGAGGGGCAGCTTGGGCGCATTGTTGTTGCAGTTTATGACCGAGATAGTTTATTTTTCAGGGACATTGGCGCACATTATTTTCTATGGACGACAGCTCTAGTTGGATTCAGGGTCCATATTTGTTTGGTCTCGCTGATGAGGAATGTTGATTATTACACTCTGAACTAGTTAAAACCTCGATCTGCAGAAGAGATCTTCAGAATTGATTTGGCAACCGCAGTGTCACCTCATGGCGGCAGCACATGTCTTGTCAAATGGCCGTAACTCCATAATAAACCATCAGTGTTTGCCATTAAAGTTCCAGCTCTCCCCGTGTCTCTATGAGTTTCGTTTCCATCACACCTTTCACCGAGTGAATCTTCTAAAGAACCAAATCTGATTCTATACATGGCAGTGAACATGTGGTCAGGTTTTTTATAAGTAGGATGTACAAGGTCACACAAGGCTGGCCAATCAAATGCAGTCTTGTGTCTTAAGAGTGGAGAGAGAATCGAGATAATTTTCACTCAACTCAAGAATACGAACAAGATGACGTCTCTGGTTTAAATAATTTCATATGTAGAAACTTTTAATGAAAATGCTTCCAATAAAAACACATTTTGTTCAATTAATCAAATGTAATTATGTCTGTGTGCTTTGACTCTTATTTCAGCTCAGACGACAGATCTGAAACTATCTTCAAGTGTTCTCCAAGAAAAAACCCACTTTTTATCATGAATTCAAAAACAGGTCACGCTTCACACTGGATAGAGGAAAAAGTACGAATCACTTGACAATTTTAAATTTGCACATTTCAGACTCAGCCACTACTACTGTGCGTCTGCTGTTCGATATGCGTTGAATTTTGCCTTAGGCATTACAATCAGTGTCAAAGGTTCTGGATTGAACATCCCAGCTTCGGTCCATCAGTCAGCATCTGAGATCATCCAGCCAGGAGACTTTGTGACTCTGAACTGTACAGTACACACTGGCAGCTGTGATGGAGAACACAGTGTTTACTGGTTCAAAAACTCTGAGGACTCTCCAGGACTCCTTTACACCCGTGGAGGCAGGAATGATCAGTGTGAGAGGAAACCCAACACACAGACACACACCTGTGAATACAACCTGCCAATGGAGAACCTGAATCCTTCTCATGCTGGGACCTACTACTGTGCTGTTGCCTCATGTGGACACATACTGTTTGGAAATGGGACCAAGTATTTGACTTGATCATGTAATAGATCATTATATATATGGCTAATTTCCAATCAATCTTTACATTAAACTCAAAAAAGCTGACCGTTCTGTTTTTGGTGTTTACTCTCTACAGATGAGGTCAACTCTCTTGTGAATGTCTTGAGTGGAGCTTTAGCATTCAACTCCATCCTGGTCGTTTTATTGGCTTTCTTAGTGTACAAGATGAAAAAGAAAAACAACTGCCAATCAGCCGGTAACTTCGACTTATTGTTCGTATTTGAAAGGTTGCATTCACTCAATAAAATGTGTGCAAAAAAATTATTTTCTATGTTTCCAATCAGAGTCTGATGGAAGATTATCAACTCCCTCTACAGCGAATGCAGAGGTGAAATGTATCTTAATAATTTATCTTTTCTTACACAAATATTTGTCTTCTTTTCAAAATCCTTAGTTACCAGGGTTACCGGGACCCAGACAGCCTCCATTATGCTGCTCTAAGTGTCCATGTGCCCAACAGATCAATACGACAGAGGAATATCCCCAATGATGAATGTGTGTACTCTGGTGTCAAGCTGTAGACAAACCATGTTTCATTACTTATGTTAAACAGAATTGGATTTACTGATGATTTAAAAGGGACATAGATAGAAGTAGATTTTATAATGTTGTGCTTTATATGCTTTCGTGTGTCTGTTGTATCTCCTCCATATTCAAAACTGGCTAAAATATTAAATGGAAACTTTGATCTTGAGACAATATATCCTGTGCATGTATGTTCACTTCCTCATAGCAATATCAATGTTTTACAATCTTCAAACCTCTTTTTAAACATTTTAATCTTGTTCTTAACCATAATAAAAAATGTGTGCATTTTACAAGAGTATGTAGCTTTGATGTAGCTTCTCTGATCCACACACTTGTGGAAATCTAACAGAATAAAAAAATACATGGATGTCTGTGTCACAATCCAGTAAGTACCATTCATTTTCTAATAACACCAAACCTGTTGCACTAACTTAGCTTCAGCCGAACTTGTTACCCTTTCATATTATATTCACAGCATTACTGGAGCTACACACAAAGCTGTGTGTACCCAGAAAGTAAATTATCCTTACTTTTAAACATAGCACAAGATAAAGAGCCATTGTGTTCTTCATTGACCTTTCACCAAGTGATTCTTCTCAAGAACCAAACTTGAAACTATAGATGGCTGTACATGTGCAAGTAAAAGTATTTTTAAAGTAGGATGTACAAAGTCACTTCAGGCTGGCCAATCAAACGCAGTCTTGTGTCTTAAGAGTAGAGAGAGTATCGAGATCATTTTCACTCAACTCAAGAATTCAACAAGATGACGTCTCCAAAGATGGTCTTTTATCTGACGTGTTTGTTCTTGGGAAAAATCGGTGAGTAGTATTTTTATCCTGCTTTTACTTTTCAGCTACTTTCATGGAAATGCTTTCAATATTTGTTCATTCAAACTTGCTGAATATAATTAATTGTATATTTCCTTTGACTCTAATTTCAGCTCAGACGACTGATCGGAAAATATCTTCAAGTGTTCGTCAAGAGAAACGTTATATATCTGCTAATGTTGGAGTAAATGTGACTTTGCCATGCTACATTGAAGATGGTGAAACAAATTGGCTTTACTGGTTTAAACAAACTCTGGGACAGAAACCAAGGCTCATCTCCACCGCCTATAAGTATAATGCAAAACCCACTTTTTATCATGAATTTAAGAACAATTCACGCTTCACACTTGATCATGGAAAAAGTAGAAATCACTTGACAATTTTGAACTTGCACATTTTGGACTCAGCTACTTACTACTGTGCATTTGCCCCTCGAATTGTTTTGAATTTTGAAGAAGGCACTACAATCAGTGTCAAAGGTTCTGGTTTGAACCCCCCACCTTCAGTCCATCAGTCAGCATCTGAGATCATCCAGTCAGGAGACTCTGTGACTCTGAACTGTACAGTACACACTGGCAGCTGTGATGGAGAACACAGTGTTTACTGGTTCAAAAACTCTGAGGACTCTCCAGGACTCCTTTACACCCATGGAGGCAGGAATGATCAGTGTGAGAGGAAACCCAACACACAGACACACACCTGTGAATACAACCTGCCAATGGAGAGCCTGAATCTTTCTCATGCTGGGACTTACTACTGTGCTGTTGCCTCATGTGGACACATACTGTTTGGAGACGGGACCAAGCTCGACTTTGAAGGTAAGCAAATTTCTAAATGATTTAATGAAAACCAATGAATGTCTAATTTCCAATCACACACTTTAATCACAAAGCTAAGTTTCCGTTTTTGGTGTTTACTCTCTACAGATGAGGTCGACTCTCTTGTGTATTTCTTAAGTGGAGCTTTGGCATTCAACTCCATTCTGGTAGTTTTACTGGCTTTCTTAGTGTACACGATGAAAAAGAGAAACAACTGCCAATCAACAGGTAACTTGTAATTATTGTATACGTCCGAAAGATTGTTTGCAACCAAAGAAACGTGTTGAGAAACACAAATTCTGTCTTTCAAATGTCTTTCCAGAGTCTGAAGCAAGATTATCAACTCCCTCTACAGCAAATGCAGAGGTATCATTTATCTAAATAAGTTTAATGTTTTAATGAAATACATGTTTACTCCTGTTCAATATCTTTATCCATTTCTATATATTTTGTCACCAGGGTAACCAGGATGCAGGCAGCCTCCATTATGCTGCTGTAAGTGTCAATGTTCCCAACAGATCAAGACGACAGAGGAACATCCCCAATGATGAATGTGTGTACTCTGGTGTTAAGCTGTAGACAAACCATGTTTGATTACTTATGTTAAACAACATTGGATTGGTGATGTTTGAAATGTGATATAGATTTTAAAGTAGATGTTTTAATGTTGTGCTTTATGTTTTCTTATGTCCATTGTTTCTCCTCAGTATTCAAAACTGACTCAAATATTAAATGGACACTTTTGTATTGATACAATACATCATGTGCATGTGTTCACTTCCTCATAGCAATATCTATTTTTACAATCTTCAGACCACTTTTGAATCATTTTAATCTGATTTTAAACCAATAACAAAACGTGTACATTTTACAAGAGTAGCTCAGATGTTACTTCTCTGATCCATACTCTTGTGAAATCTAATAGATAGACTAGAGTATAGCTGAGAAACCCTGGGTTGACTTTCCAATTTGATAACCAAAGTCGTAGGACAGCTTAGTGAGACAAACACATAAAGGATATGCAATGCATAATTACTGGGTAACAGCCAACAGTTTCCTTTTGTACTTGGGCCTTCTTGAAAAATAGATTTGAATAAATCTTGTATAAAGTATAAATCAGAGGCCTGCTAACAGCATTGCTCCATTCCCTTGATTTAATGGGGGGACTTTTGGCACAGAAAGGTAAAGGTAAAGCAGAGCGACTTGTTCTGCTTCATAGGGATGTCACAGTGGGGCCCACTGGTTAAAAAAACAGTCCTCTCAGACCTTTTTTTGTAGTATCTATCTTAGTGCAGCAGCCTTTGTGGTTTTAGCAGGATGTAAGGGTGTTCTTACATAGATGCTCCTTAATCCAAAGATCACTTGCAGTGTCATTAAATGAGAAGAATATTTATCAGGTCACATTTAACAATAATACAACTTGAAATAATCTTGTAGTTACATTTTTTTGTTTGGAATAGTGTTGAATATAGGTATTTAAAAGCAATGTAATCCATTAGTTTCATATAAAGGCATGGCTACAATCAATTTCTCATTTTTCAATTCTCAATTATCACTAAGACCTTTTTAAACATCACTAATCCCAAAGTGATTAACGTTAGATTCATAGGCGGCGCGTGAGGCTCAGGTTTGGGAAGGCTAAATAACTTTTTATACCTGACGCTGCCTGCCTCCGGCGTCTATAGAAAATAGATCAACTCAGTGAAAGCACCGCCTACTGACCGATCAGAGCTCAGTGTGCAGAGTTTAAATCTATCAAGTCATATTACAGGATAAAGGAAATACAGTTTAAACTGCCGTATGCAGAGAAGACGCCGACGTGTCGCACTTATCATTCATATCACATCATCAATCACATCATCGATCATATAATATCATATAGGCCTATCATATATTTCCTTATGAGTCAGCTTCTCTAGCCGTATCTGGCCGTGCAACACAGTGTCACATACTGTATGCAGAAGTATTATTTTAAGAAACACATTAGGTTGACAAAACACTCAACTCAAATGTAATTAAAGTCAGATCCACTCGTGTCTTAGACGGGGCAGTGATATCAGTGACAATGACGCTTTCAAACACTCGGTAGTTTATTTATTTTTTAACCAGTTGTTCTATATTCACCTTGCAGGTGCAACTCTGTGGCTTGTATCCTGGAGTATATGTTTAAGTCATGGATGTTTAAAGTTCATATTTGTCTAATATTAGTTTACTTTTCATTAATGAAGTATGACGCTGCGCTGTCAGTAGGCCTACACTTGTCCCTGTTTGTGATTGGTCAAATGTAGCTAACCCCGCCCCTTTCACGTGAACGCGCTCTCAGCTGGAGAGAGAAACCCTGGCTTGATTTACCGAATTGATAACCAGCGTCGTAGGACCGCTTAGCGAGATCTCGTTTGTTAGGGTTAGTTAAGATAACTCAAACATATCCAGTGTCTGTTGAACTGGCTTCGTAGAAGAGGGCACAGGTGGCTGCGTAGCAGCGCTAATGTCAAAGACACAAACATTATACATTATATTTGTATTTTACCAGGATGCGACAAAAGTATTTGGGAAGGCTTAGCCTTCCCTAGCCTACAGTACCCGCCACCCCTGGTTAGATTGTTATACAATTGTTTTCTTTATTAGCTAATGCATTGTTTCCAAAGTAAAAGAGAGTATTTACATGTATTTGTAAACATAGATTGGGGCAACATGGATTTCTGTGTCACAATCCAGTAAGTACCATTCATTTTCAAATAACACCAAACATGTTGCACTAACTTAGCTTCAGCCGAAGCCCAAAGGACATATGCAACTAACTTGTTACCCTTTCATATTATATTCACAGCATTACTGTAGCTACAGACAAAGCAGTTTATTCTCCTTACTGTTACTAACATAGCACAAGATAAAGAGCCATTGTGTTCTTCATTTACCTTTCACCAAGTGATTCTTCTCAAGAACCAAACTTGAAACTTGGAGTTAAAACAAAGCACAAGCATAATTCAGTTTAAAAGGATGTACAGAAACACTTTTTTGGAAAAATATGAGAATGAAGAAAGGTGATTGAAGATGAGAAATGATTGTATATGTATGTATAAATGTAAATGTATGTAGGAATAACTTGCATAATGATTTAAAGGACAATCATTGATTAAGTAAGGGGTGGGAATTAATAAGCATTTGCTTCCTCCTACTCCCTTTCGGACACATATGATTTATTATTATTATTAATATGAAGACTTTTTTTTTGTTGAATATACAAATATTACCATGAATGTGGATAAATACTGTATTATAACAATACGGTATTCTGTTTTTCACATTTGTTATTTGTTATTTTTTAATCTGTTTGAAATAAAGACTGAAAGAAATCAAGAAAGAAACTATAGATGGCAGTGAACATGTGTTCAAGTTTTTTAAAAGTAGGATCTACACAGTCACTTCAGGCTGGCCAATAAAACGCAGTCTTGTGTCTTAAGAGTGGAGAGAGTATCGAGATCATTTTCACTCAACTCAAGAATTCAACAAGATGACGTCTCCAAAGTTGGTCTTATATCTGATGTGTTTGCTCTTAGGAACAATCGGTGAGTTGTATTTGTATCCTGCTTTTACTTTTCTGCTACTTTCATGGAAATGCTTTCAATATTTTTTTATTCAAACTTCTGTACTTGCTGAATATAATTAATTGTATATTTCCTTTGACTCTTATTTCAGCTCAGACGACTGATCGGAAAATATCATCAAGTGTTCGTCAAGAGAAACGTTATATATCTGCTAATGTTGGAGTAAATGTGACTTTGCCATGCTACAATGAAGATGATGATACAAATCGGCTTTACTGGTTCAAACAAACTCTGGGACAGAAACCAAGGCTCATCTCATCCGTCTATCCTTATGATGCAAGACCCACTTTTTATGATGAATTCAACAACAAGTCACGCTTCACATTTGATCACGGAAAAAGTACAAATCACCTGACGATTTTAAATGTGCACATTTCAGTCTCAGCCACTTACTACTGTGCATTTACCAATCGATATGTGGTGAATTTTGCCTTAGGCACTACTATCAGTGTCACAGGTTCAGGTTTGAACATCCCACCTTTGGTCCATCAGTCAGCATCTGAGATCATCCAGCCAGGAGACTCTGTGACTCTGAACTGTACAGTACACACTGGCAGCTGTGATGGAGAACACAGGGTTTACTGGTTCAAAAACTCTGAGGACTCTCCAGGGGCCTGTACTATGAAGCTGGTTCAACCTAAACTGGATATGTTTGAGTTAGCCGGTTGGCCTAATCCAAAACATACGCGCTCTCGCTAAATGGTCCTACGACGCGGGTTATCAAGTGGATCGCTCAAGCCAGCCGTGTCCTATCTAGTTAGGTGCGCGTTCACATGAAATGGGTGGTATCTGGAGCATTCGACCAATCACAAACATGGAGAAGCATACTTACAGCGCAGCGTCATACTTCCTGAATAAAAAGTAAACTATAATATTAGTCAAATATGAAGAAGTTAAACTTTAAACATCCATGACTTAAACACTTTATCCAGGATAAAAGCCACATAGCTGCACCTGCAAGGTGAATACAGCTGGTAAAAGAAAACGTGTTTGAATGCGTACATTAACAGGTTTATGATATCACTGCCCCGTCTAAGACACGAGTGGATCTGACTTTAATTAGGCCTACATTTGACTCGAGTGTTTCCTCAACTTAATGTGTTGCTTAAAATAATACTTCTGCTAAGCGTCTTTGGGTTCAAGAAAAGCGTTATAGAAATAAAATATATTATTATTATTATTAGTATGTGACACTGTGAGTGTTGCACGGCCAAATACGGCTCAGCTGACTCAGATAAGGAAATATATGATACATTATGATGTGAAATGCTGCGGACTGTACTTAATGTTAGCCTACTTTGATCCGGTTACTTATGTTGTGGCAGATATTTAAGTAAGCTTTCTTAACGCTAATGTTATAATAGTCAGATTGCTCTGAAGATGGGAGGTGATATTCTATTAATGTTCACGTTCACACAGTCGGTGATTTTTGCCGGCCGTCTTTCCTGCAACGGCAGCTTTTCTGTATTTCCTTTCTCCTGTAATATGACTTGATCGCTTTAAACTCCGCACACTGAGCTCTGATTGGTCAGCGGGCGGTGCTTTCACTGAGTTGAGCACTTAGCCTGCAACCTAACCAGGGGGGTATACTACGAAGCAGGATTTTCGCTTAGCCGGCTAACTTCAGGGAAAACTCGGGGTTTCCGGTCCTACGACGCTGGTTCAACCCGGAGAGACGTGATGTAAGAATTACATATTTATTGTTTACACGTCATATGAATGAAATGATTGCCATGATAGTACAACAGGAGAATGTAATGGTGTTTGGCGATTAGGCCCCCGGTTTGCAGGATAATCATTCAGGAGGGAAAGCACCGCTCCGATGAAATCCCCGGGGTCTAGACACTGGTGGTGGTGATGAGTAGGTGAGACCAGTCTGAAGGAGGAAGGTTTAGCTTTGTCCTGAAGGAGACGGGAGGCGAGAGGGGTGGAGGCGGGTTGCGTGTGATCATCTGCAATGACAACTGACAGGGAGGAAGAGCAGGTATTTAAGGCATTTAGCATGTGCAGCGATTGGCTGCTGAGGCGTGACGCCCTCATATTTAATGAGGGGGGAAGGGAGCCATAGAGTGACGTGTGAGTGACTCGAGTTAGGTCTTCCTTATTGAACTTGCGCTAAAGCTTTCATTTCTCTTTTTAGCGGGCTAGATCTCCATGGTAACTTATGCTGTGCGGCTAACCTGGGGGGTATACTACAAATCTAGTTCAACCCAGACCCGGCGCCAGAACAAATCTAAAGGGAGGGCATATGATTTTCATGGGAGGGCACACAAAACCGTCACGTGCTGCGGGCCTGCGGCACATTATATATCAAACAGCAAGGCCAACGGCATTGCGTAAAGACGCACACTTATCGCAAACATACACAAATAAAGGTCAACGTAGCAACCACTTTGAAACATTGTGTGCGTGGCAGCACAGACACTGGTAAATCACGAGCAAGGCACACTGGTTACGGATGGCAGCTTCCTCATCGCTGCACTCGGAGAGAAATAGTAGAGACGGAGACGTTGAACTGTTTAGCCCGCCTTGGGCATGGTTTAGGTTCCTATGCACTGCACTCGGACATGCTGTGGAGTGAATCGAGTCACCTCTGACAGGGAGTTGGTTGACAGCTAAAAAAGCTATAATATCAACGACAGCTGACACGTAATAACGGCTCCGTGCCAGCTGATCTGCACCAAAGTTCTAATTTCCTTATTTGTTTCATCGTGTATCTGTCTCTCTCTCCACAAACTCTCACATGAAATGTGTTCTTTTGATGCGGCATGCCTTAACAGTCTTTTATCAGTCTGTAATGCGTGTTTCTAGTCGCAAAAACCTTTGACAGTAAAAGCCGCATCAGATGAAGACGTATTCACTTTAAACTGTCTACAGTGGAAACAAAAGGCTGCGTCTGCTTTTAACAAATCTTCAAGCCATGGTCTGTTGTTGTTCCATGCAGCGGCAAAAGTGCGCTTCTTTCCTGAAAACAATCTCCCTGGATAACGATCCAGCTTCACCTGGTTGGGTTTATTAACCCCAAGATCATCGCTAACTCAACCCCGGGGTTTGCCGAGGTCAAGCTTGTGACATTAAGGCGTGCTGCTGCAATGGCAGGTGCAGGGTCGCCAGCAGCACCATCGGCTGCAGTTCTTTCATCACTATTTCGTTTTGATAAATCCTTAGACCTTTTAAGACAATTTTTGATGTCCATTTTGTAATTCAAACAGAAATAGGAGTCTACAGAATGCACAATAAACAAATCCAGAATAGGCGGCAGAGTGTGACGCTGTGATTGGTCTATATGGGGACGAATCACAAATCATACATGCATTTATTTGACGTAGCATGGCGCCTGCGATTGTTTTTGTTTTGTTCTGACATCACATACATCGTAGCATAAAAGTTCACAGTTTATTTATAATTAAAAAAATAAAATATATATATTTTTTAATTTTTATAAATAATAAAAAAAACGTGTTTATTGGGGGAGGGCAGGAATGTCAAATGGGAGGGCCTGGCCCTCCCTGGCCCTCCCACGGCGCCGGGCATGGTTCAACCTATCCTGGATATATTTTGAGTTATCCGGTTGACTTAATCCAAAACAAAGCCGCTCTCGCTAAACTGTCGCTGGCTATCAACTCGTTCGCTCAAGCCAGCCGTGTCCTATCTAGTTAGGTGCGTGTTCACATGAAAGGGGTGGTATTTGGAGCATTCGACCAATCAGAAACATGGAGAAGCGTACTGACAGCGCAGCGTCATACTTCCTGAATGAAAAGTCAACTTTAATATTAGACATATGAAGAAGTTAAACTTTAAACATCCATGACTTAAACACTTTATCCAGGATAAAAGCCGCATAGCTGCACCTGCAAGGTGAATACAGAGGTAAAATAACAAGTGTTTGAATGCGTACATTAACAGGTTTATGATATCACTGCCCATCTAAGACACGATCTGACTTTCATTACATTTGACTCGAGTGTTTCGTCAACTTAATGTGTTGCTTAAAATAATACTTATGCATACAGTATGTGACACTGTGAGTGTTGCACAGCCTGATACGGCTCATCTGACTCAGATAAGGAAATATATGATACATTATGAAGTGATATGAATGATAATGGGACACATTAACGTCTGCACTCACAGTGCCGCTGACTGTAGGCTACGTAATGTTACTTTGATCCGGTTACTTATGTTGGGGCAGATATTTAATTAAGCTTTCTTAACATAGCCTAATAGTATAATAGTTATAATAGTCAGATTGCTCTGAAGATGGGAGGTGATGTTCTATTCATTTTCCCGTTCACACAGTCGGTGATTTTGGCCGGCCGTCTTTCCTGCAACGGCAGTTTAAACTGTATTTCCTCCGCACACTGAGCTCTGATTGGTCAGCAGGCGTGGTGCTTTCGCTGAGTTGATCTCTTATCCTGGAACTAGGTTCCACTTGATAACCCGCGTCCTAGTACCGTTTAGCGAGAGCACGTATGTTTTGGATTAGGCCAACCGGCTAACTCAAACATATCCAGGTTAGGTTGAACCAGCTTCGTAGTATACCCGCCTGGTCCCGACCAGGTTAGCCGCTAAGCATAAGTTACCATGGAGATCTAGCCTGCTAAAAAGAGAACCAGCTTCGTAGGACCGGAAAGCCGGAGTTTTCCCTGAATTTAGCCGGCTAAGCGAAAATCCTGCTTCGTAGTATACCCCCCCGGACTCCTTTACACCCATGGAGGCAGGAATGATCAGTGTGATAGGAAACCCAACACACAAACACACACCTGTGTGTACAACCTGCCAATGGAGATCCTGAATCTTTCTCATGCTGGGACCTACTACTGTGCTGTCGTCTCATGTGGACACATACTGTTTGGAAACGGGACCAAGCTGGACTTTGAAGGTAAGTAATTTACTAGATTATTTCACGAAGAGTAAATTATGGCTAATTCCAAATCAAAGTTAACATAGAAACACAAAACCTGAATGCTCTGTTTGTGGTGTTTACTCTCTACAGATGAGGTGGACTCTCTTGTGTATTTCTTGAGTGGATCTTTGGCAATCAACAACATCCTGGTTGTTCTACTGGCTTTCATAATAAACAAGATGAAGAAATGCTGCCAGGTAACTGGTAATCAGTGGCGGCTGGTGGAAATGATTTTAGGTGGGGCTATTGTAATGGTGAATAAACCACACGGAGAACATTTTGAGAAATGACCCCTTAAATTATGACTTCTGCTGATGTTAGAGGTATGAGAAGACTGATCAATACCTCCATAATCTTCAGTGTGGTTAGCTATGAACCTTCCAAAACGTCCAAATACCTTCTACAGTAAACTGTGCAACAGTACAGTAGGCCCACACAAACTGCAGAACACCCGTTCTTTGGGAACACTCAAATGATTTAATTCCCATTTGAAATCAGGAGACTAAATATGAACATTATATGCAGACACAGACATGGTTCAGAAACACAGAAATATTAGAAAACAGACCATTAAGGCAAAAAATCTAGTTTGATGGATGCTGTCAAAACTCAACTATATACAATAATGTGTGTGTGTGTGTGTGTGTGTGTGTGTGTGTGTGTGTGTGTGTGTGTGTGTGTGTGTGTGTGTGTGTGTGTGTGTGTGTGTGTGTGTGTGTGTGTGTGTGTGTGTGTGTGTTTATTTATCACGGGCACATAGTATCTGTCCCCGGCTGTTTGAAGAGCAAGCATGGGAAACAAAAGACAGCGTTTACCTGTTTGCATCTAGCTAGTCACACACACAGTTACAATCACACTCCCTGTAATTGACATAATTAATAAATAGTTTAGCTTCTCACCATAATTTGCTGTGGCCCACTGACGTTAACGATCGTAACTGAAAGGCTGCCTTCCAAACGTAAACATGAAGCCACGTGACTCGCAAACTCTCGCGAGAGTTTTACACAAGACGGATCCTTTCTAGCCATAACCAACTCACAGACTGCATCGGGCGCTGAAATTGCGGCCCTTTGACCATCAGATCTGACGACGCTGATTGGCTGAAATTATGTTTCGGCAATGTGTTGGATGCTTCTCAGTGGCGTTTTCTCCTGGAGGCCAAGGGAAGCCAGGCTTCCCCTGTTTTTTCGGATTGTAGTTATAATTTTAATAAATAAATAAAAACACTTTGTTTAGTTTCGGAAATTCTTTGTTGTGTGTTGCTGCCGGTCCATCTCTCACCCATTCTCATTGAGTATTTTACAAAGAGTGAAACAGCGCCCCTCTAGATGTTATGGTGAAACAGTAGATTGCACTCTGCTGCGAGAGGAGGCCAGCCGAAATTGGCTTCCCTTGGTGAAAAACAATGGAGGGATTGACCAATCAGACAAGGCTCACGTCATGCCCCTGCCAACCTGTGATTAGTCAGGGCCATGCCAAGGGAAGCCAGAGGCGGCTGGCTTCCCTTGCCTCACAATCCAATCAAATCGCATCAATTTAGTGTTGCAATGACGCGTCCTAAAATCCGGAGGTAAGCTGCGCTCGGTTTCCCTCGACAAAAAAGCAATGTGATTTCTCCATAGGATTTTGGAAGATAGCTCGAAATAAGGTCTGTGGAAAACGAACCTGTTAGATAAATGCACATTTTGTTCAGTCGGATAATATTCACATGTCTACCCTACTTTTATAATTTTCGAATCATAAATCTAATCGATAGAAGATACATAGCGTCACTGCACCACTTTCACCGCCCTTAGAAAGTAGCAAGCAACTGAAGCAAGTGCAATTATGGAGGGTGGAGATTTGGAGTATTTAATCAAAAATAATTGTACTAAACTTCCGCTACAGCAGCAACAACAAATACAATCTGATGACAGGCCGATGCCCAAACTGGAGCTGTGTACAGCGAGGAAAAAAGGAGCGAATCGGACGTAAAACGTTAAAGGTCTCCTGATTTAGTTTGTGAATGAATGCTTATTAGAGTTTCGGCTGGAGAGTGCGTGCGGACCTGTCGGTTAGATAACAGGCGTGTGTAAGTCCTGCATCTGTATGATACAAATGTGTGTAAAATGATACCGGGTGCTGTAATCACTCATCTGGTTACGTTATTACATTGACCACCAGACCCCCAACCCAAAAGAAAGGACGTATTATTGGCTTCCCCTAATTTTTTCCCCACGCCACGCTACTGATGCTGCTGGCTGCTGGGGCTGAGTGAGGGCTCCTTTCTTCAACCCGGTATCACGGCAAGACGTGAACATGTGACGATTTACCATGCTGGGAGTCGTGAAGATGTCACGATTTCGTCCCTTCAAACGTGACAGTTACATGGTATTGTTAACCCATGTTAACCAGTGGAGAAATACCCGGAAATGCCAAGCAAATGCTACCCCGACGGTCGGTTGTTATTGTCAATATTAATATAATAATGATTTATTTTTTAATAGTCACACTCGATTATGCCGATTTTCTTGTTGCCCCAGCTGGTCGACACCTCTTTTAGCAGAAACAAAGGCTACATTAATGTATTAAATCAATGTTAATCCATGCGTGTGGATGTGGAATTAACGGACGTGACGTTGTGCGATTGCGTTGCCAGGCAACAGCTTTGGTTCATGTTAATTTACAAACTCTTCAACTACAACCGCAGTTATATTTAAAAACATGTTAGAAGGCCTCATGAAATTAAAAATGTAAATGTGAAGGAATGTGTGTATAACAAAATACATCCGTCATAAACGAAACCGGAAACAGACGTAGGCAAGTGCACGCTGGGATTTGATGTTTATGCGAAGTGATATCCGAAAACATTTAAAAAAAATAAAATAATACTTTATTCCGAGTGTGCTTGCTTTTCTCTTTGAAAGTCATCACAACGGCATTGTAATACATGATTCGCCTGCATTAAATATTACATATCTGCCGTAGTTCTCGATTTATAGAGCCCTGATGAGAAGACTTCTAGACAAACTGCCGCCAAAACTGAAAACGTGACGTGGATCATAAATATATAAGCAATTAAACAGCATCTTACATTTATTTTCACACAATACGTCTCCTTGCAGTATCAACACTAATTCGGCTGACTTTTATATTTGATCCAATTGGTAGATAGGCTGTATTTACACCATAACGGTCTTTGTTTTTAAGATAACAAATATATATTAATAGGAGGATGTGCAAAACAACTAATAAGGCTTAATTCAAACATTAAATAATACTTTAGGTTAAGGTCTTCTTTTGAATAAGAAAAAAGCTTTGGGGGTATACAGTAGAAGAAGAATATGGAGGGATGAAACCCTCTTTAATGATCACACATGCAGAGCACACAGCACACACAGTGACATTTGTATCTACAGATAAATATTCAGCCTGACAAAGTACTTAACGTCTAATATATTGCTTTCCTGCAATGTTAACTATTTAAGCACTTATTTTAACTGATATTATACATATGTATTATATACTCTTATAAGATCAAATCAAATCAAGTTTTATTTATATAGCACATTTATAAACGATTTTTGGTCGAGCCAAAGTGCTGTACATATAATAAAATTAGCCTACAGTAGAGACACTTTACAGCAAATACAACAACACAGATTGTTCAGAATATCAGTATGAGAAAAACGACACCCTCTGTCCTTAGACCCTCACATCTACAAGATGTATGTAGATAGTATAAGAAATGTGCAGAATATGACAGTTTAATGGTGGAGGTATACACACATATTGATAGATCAGATGTCTTGTAATGCACTGTTGAGGAACCTGCGACCCAAGTTTTTAATTCATTGCATAACCACGCCGTAGTTGTGTATAATATGATATGTCAATAAACCTTAGAAAATCTTGAAATCTTGAAAGGGATGTGCAAAATAGTCATTATATACAGTCTTGAATTAACTATTAGTAGAGAATAACGAGTAATGAATATACTTTATAGGGATCCTATTAATATCTAATAATAAAATAATAAAATTCAATAACGTGCTTTAACCACCAGGTGTCCCTTTCTATCAGCTGTGCACCGTGATGGTGTAAATACAGCCTATCTACTAGGGCAGGGGTCAGCAACAGGCGGACCGCGGTCCGGATCCGGGCCCAGACCTATACGGACCCGGACCTATAATCAATACATTAATAGGGGATTTCAATTTTGACGGGGCGATTCTATTTTAACCGCTGCCGACAGGGGGCGAAAGAGACGAGTGAGCGATACAGGGAGAAAACACAGAGGAAGAGATGAGTGAGCGGTACAGGCAAGCCCCCAGGAAGTGCGCCGGACTCAGATGAAAATATTCGTGCTGGCCAAACGGTGGTACTACACTTCCGTTTGGTTGCCAGGCCCGGAAACACTTTTTCCCATTGACTGACATGGGGAAAGAGTGGTCTGTAAATCGTTGGATAATTTTTTTTAAACTAAATAAACTACCCATTATGAACACTTGTATAGCCCTTATTAAAAACATTCGTTCCTCAAGTTGTAATAATGTGCTAATAACGTTATTCTGAGAGTTATTTCCCTCTGCATTATGAACGCGCATCTAACCCACGGGACCGCGCCGCCCGGCACGTTCATGTTACGTGTTCAGCACTACATGTGTTTATCTTTACCCATGGATGCACAATAAGAACGGACCCATATCGTCTTACTGCCACCCCACGGAGCTGTAATAATGGATATATTCCACATGTTTGCTATAATTCATTATCATACTACATGGGCTGTATGATTAAATCTTGTACCGTAAATGTTGTATTAAATAAAGTTAATATTACTTATTATTATAAGTATATATATATATATATATATATATATATATATATATATATATACATACAGTGCAATCATTCTTTCATGCTAAATGAAGCTCTGTTGGATATCACTAGATCCTGTTACAGCGTAATATAAGTACATAACGATTGATGTCACATTAGCATAATGACTAGCTAGCCGCTAGCTGCTAACTGCCGCCTCGTTAATATAAAATCCATCATAATAACAAATCATTACCATGCTGTCATGAACGTGTGGTGCTGTTACGTGTACGCAAATTGACGTGCTAGATGTGAACGAGTGTTACAGCCGCTGCTACCTTGTGGCCTTAACTCTGTTTGTGTGTGTGTGTATGCAAATGAGCTGTGCAGTTCCTATGCTGTCAGTGGCCGTCTCGACCTCGCAACATCCGCGGGGATTGGACAGACGTCACCCAAGCCCTGCCCGCTTCTGCACGTCATCCGGGGAAGGAGTATAAAGGCTGGGCACGGATACCATTCGGGAGGCTCTGTATTGTGTGACAGACGCCTCAAGCCTCTCCTTGTGATACTGCCTTCGTTCTGTGACTTCTGAGACTGTTTAGCTGTGTGTACTCTGTGTTAGCTACACTGATTAGCAGTGTATTCAGTAGGGTTTTTGGGCGAGCACACTGATTAGCAGTGTGTCGTCGGGTTCTGTGTTAGTATAGGGTTTGTGTGTGTATATTGCTTAGATCCAGGTTGATTAGCACATGTAGACCAGCATTCCCGTGTGTATATTGCGTAGATCCAGGTGATTAGCACCTGATTAGCACAGCCCCGTTTTGTTATTGTTTTGTTTCCCCTTTAGAAGTGAGGTATTTCCTTTCCTTTTGTATAGTACTGGGCAACTCTCTTTTGGAGACCCGTTGTTGGGCCAAGCTGTTTGTGTACATCATTTTACTCAGTTGCCGTTACAAATAAAACCACCGGTAACATATACCAAATCCAATCTGGTCGTGTCGTTTCCCTTTTGTATCCCTAGCATACCTTAGGGACATATGTGTACATCGTGTGGACATTAACTACCGGTCGCTGTACGCCAAGTGTATAGACATGCAGTTCGGCCCCGGAGCAAAATAAAAATAATCTGGGGTGCTACATGGATAGCCAGTGCAGGGACCTTCCACGTGGAAAAAGAACAGGAGACGAGCTTTCCCCACACCAGAGGGCTTAATGTCCACTGAGTGGACATCATTGGCCGTGGCGTGTACAGAATAATATGTCCATATCACGGACATTAATACATAGAGTGGTGTCCATGAAATAGACATTGCAAATAAGTGTTTAACGGTGATTTAAACTAGTTTCTGCGGGGAAAAGAGTGCTAAAAATCGGTTTTTCAGCACCCAAACTCGGCCCTGAGGCCTCTCCAGGACCCCGGGTCGACATGGAGGTTTGGCAGTCCGCCTTTCAGCACCCAAACTCGGCCAAACTCGGACCTCCAGCCCCGGAGAGCTCGCAGGTGATGGATAAGGGGAGACAGCCTCACAGGGACCCCTGCAGAGCCCACAGCTGCTGGGGGTCGACATGGAGGTTTGGCAGTCCGCCTTTCAGCACCCAAATTCGGCCCTGATACCTCCAGATGCACCAGAGGCCGTAATGTCCACTGAGTGGACATCATTGGCCGTGGCGTGTACAGAATAATATGTCCATATCACGGACATTAATACATAGAGTGGTGTCCATGAAATAGACATTGCAAATAAGTGTTTAACGGTGATTTAAACTAGTTTCTGCGTGGAAAAGAGTGCTAAAAATCGGATTAAACTATGCTAACAGATACCTCCAGGACCCCGGAGAGCTCGCAGGTGCTGGGGATCGACATGGAGGTTTGACAGTCCGGGTCGGGTCAGTACTTGGATGGGAGACCGCCTGGGAATACCGGGTGCTGTAAGCTTTTTTGTGTTAAATACCCATGGTGATAAGATAAGATTTATAACCGAAAATAGCATGCTAAACGTGGGTAGATTAGTTTCAAAGGTCGGTGGGACTGTTTTAATTCAGTTTGCAATTAAAATGGGTCATTCAGAAAGTGCTATTTCTGAATAAATATGACATTCTGACCATATGTCAAACAGAGATTCATATTAAAAGTTATCAATTAGTAGCAACATTGGACAAAACAGACAGGCTATTATTTCACAGGACTCATGACGGTAATAATTATATATATATACTATATCAGACTTCCATGAAATACACCGGGAAAAGACGGACTAAGCAGCTACAGCATCGCTCCATGACAGGCTGGCAGGTGCTGATGGAAAGCAGGCGGAAATACATTTACATTTACCCAGGAATTAGTGTTTACAAGGCGGGTAAAGTGTTCCAGGTGCTGATGCAGGCACACACAGGCAGAGATCCAGGGTGATGCACATGGATTTCTTACCCAGGAATGAGTGTGTGAAAGGGGGGGGAAAGTATTGTAGATAGAGGGAGACTGTACTCAGAGAGCAGCACGCAGCACATGGCTTTTCAACCCATGGATAAGTGTTTGAAAGGGGGGGGAAGTATTGTAAATTGGGAGAGAGTGTACACAGAGAACAGGCTGCAGCAACTCACTTTACAATCCATGAAAATATGGTTTAAATAGCGGTAAAAGTGATTTAAATACATGTCTATTACGCATACTTTAATGCACAAAAGTATGTCCATGCAGACACATCGTAACCCAGCCTTGTATCATCATTTTGCAGGTACGATGTGTACATTGGGTCATTCAGAATGTGCTATTTCTGAATAAATAGCACATTCTGAACATATGACAAACAGAGATTCCTATTAAAAGTTATCAATTAATAGCTAGATTTGACATGGGCAAACAGGCTATTTCACAGGACACAGGATATGTCAGACTTCCATGAAATACACCGGGAAAACCACCTCACTGTGGCCGCTCCAAGACACCCAAAGTACGGACTAAGCAGCTCCAGCATATCACCCTGACATGAGCAAATAGCCTATGTCAGACTGCCATTAAATACACCAGGAAAACCACCTCACTGTGGCCGCTCCAAGAGCCCCAAAGGACCTCCAGCATATCTCCCTGACATGCGTACTTCCATAACCTCGCGCACCTTGGGTCCCCGGGCCCCCGAACTTAAGCACTCCCCCACGGACTAAATCCAGATGATCACACCCTCAAGAACCTTGTGCCCCTGGTAACCTTAAAGGGGGGTGGAGTTTGCGGTGCTTTATCGTCCGCCCATCGGCATCCATATTCGTCCTTATTCACAGCAGCACCCACCCTCCTGTGGAGGATGTTCTCATGGCCCTGGTAACACTTAAAGATGGTGTATTTTGCGGTGCTTTATCGTCCGCCCATCGGCATCTATATTCAGCCTTATTCACAGCAGCACTATCCTGTGGAGGATGTTCTCATGGCCCTGGTAACACTTAAAGGTGGTGTATTTTGCGGTGCTTTATAGTCCGCCCATTGGCATCCATATTCGTCCTTATTCACAGCAGCACCACCCACCTTCCTGTGGAGGATGTTCTCATGGCTCTCATAACACTTAAAGGTGGTGGAGTTTGCGGTGCTTTATCGTCCGCCCATCGGCATCCATATGCGGCCTTCTTCACAGCACCACCTGCCCTGCTGGAGGTTCACACTTTAACTTTTTTTTACCCTCCTCTGCCTTACACATCCTCCAACACTTGAGCACTCCTCACTTGGACTAAACCCCTTCATGCACACCACCAGAACCTCGTGCCCTTGGGGATCTTAAAGGGGAAACACCCATAGTGGGTTTTAAAAAAGAGGACAAAGTAAGTAATTTTAACAAACTTTATTTACATAAATATATACATTGACACTTTATAACATGATAACATTATAACATTATTCACTCATCCAGCACAAGGGGACTGAGTACAACAAAACATTGCATATTTACAAGTTGGTCACTGGCAACATTGTCCGTATCGGGTGAAGTTGGTGCAGAGTCTGGCACCCTCTCTTCACCCATGTCTGAGGGACTGTGTTCGGCCATTGACTGTTCCCTCTTCGCCGCTCTCCAAGCGTTGAAGTTTTTGTAGAATTCTTCATCTGACGTCTCGGCATCGGGGGAGTCTTGGTAGGGAGTGGGGCGATGCTCCTCTCCAGAGCTGTCACTGTCGCTGTCGATGTCAATGTCCCCCAAATTGTCTTCACTCCCCCCTGATGCTGCTGTTGCTGCCGCCGCTGCTTGCAGTGACTCTGTGAAGAGCAGCCGTATGTCCGCAGCCTCCTTCAAAGAAGGATTATTGGCATAAAATGTGTCTGCAGTTGCAGTGTTGTGACACATGAAATCACTCACTCTTTGGCGGTTGCCTATGTCCTGAAACCTCTTCGCATTATCTGCGTGGACTGTGCGGAGGTCGGTGAAGTTAATGGGACCTTTTAGTCCCACATCAGCCCATGCCAACCTCAGGGCGGAGGCAAGGTTCCTCAACGCGTTCTTCCCCGCTGTGTATAGGAAGTAGCGGTTCTGGGTGCAGGTCAGCGTGCCCTTGATTTCCAGCCACCTCTTCATCCATCCATCCAAATTCTTCCCCGAACGCGTTGGCCGTCTTGTGGCTGCTTACCTGTTATGACAGCGGTAGAGAGCGTAAATACAAGTATCAATCATGCACAACATTTTTATCACTGCCAGAATAAACACTTTTTTTTTTAATAGCACTCACGTGGATGAGGTAGCCAAAGGCAGTGCCACTTGTCTCCGCCTTTCGGACCTCGGCGTTGGTCATGTTGGAGTAGACCCCCGGACGGTGGCCATAAATGCAGCTCCAATGGAGGGTCATGTACCCATAGAGCAATATCCGGGTTGTGGTAGTCGGATTGCTGACCATCACGTCCAGGAGCTGAGGGATGCGAGTTTTGGCCGCAGTCAAACATGCCATGATGTCTTTATGGCTCGGCAGACCTTCCATCTTGTCCTGCTTCACCTGCATCTGGTGGATAAGCACCTTCTTCCTAAGGGACTTCAGGATGGCAATAACTTCCCGTTTGATTAAAATCATGTCATTTTGGTTGAGCCTGCTCCCCTTGCATGGTGTGTCTGCCATGTACTTGAGAAAGTGTGATATATTTTTGATATAGAAGTCAGAGGTCGTGACCTGTAGGCTTGACTTTATCAGGCTCCGGGACCAGCTGTTGGCAAAGGAAAACGCATCAGTACATCGTATTGCATCAATGTGGAGAACACACACAATGATGCTAACATCATGGACAGTTTTTGATGTTACTCACCCACTTATCCTCTTCAGATCCCTCAGAAAGAGCCAGTCAGACAGGCGATTGAAACCGTGTGCCATGAAGCTTAGGAACGATTTCACTCTGCTTATTTTGGAGACTGCGTTTTCTTGGAGCCTCACTGTTGGGTCGATGCCCTCATAATGGTCCTGGTAGCCTTGCAGATACTCCTCCATGATGCGTGGGAATGTTATGTCCCACATTATATTCCCCCGGCCCCTGCCGCTGAACCAGGGGGAATGTATGGGAGGGGAGGATGACGAGGCCTCGGTATCTATGGATGCAGGTTCTGAGGAGCTGGATACAGGTGTGTGAGAGGCAATGGGGGACTTGCTGCAGGAGGGAATGGGGGACTTGCTGCAGGAGGGACCTTTGGACTTGGACAGCCTCTTTTGTGTTGACTCTGTTCGGGGTCGTTTCCTTAGAAACACCCGCTCTTGTTCCTCCCCATCCTCTTCATCGAACCCAAGCATGTCCTCGGCCCTCTGGTTCCTCCTCTGTCGCTTATGTTTTATCCTCTGCTGCAGCTTGCAGCGCAGGGATTTCACCTCAGCAGCATATCTGTCCCTCTGAGCCCTCATTGTGTTTGCCTCCATCCTCCATTCCTTACAGTCCGGGTTGTCACATTCAATCACTGGGGACAAGGGTGGAGGTTGTGACAGGACCTCATCACCCACAGTGTCCACATCCCAAGAGGTAATCATTGCTACTGTGGGGTTTGTCAATCTGAGTTCATGAAGCTCCTTCGTTGCCACTGTCATTTTTAGTTTATTTACAACCACATATATTTCCTCCCGGGACAGCTCAACATGGTCTCTGTCCAAGTGGCAGTCCAGCCTTGTCTCGATGTACTCGCATCCTGCAATGGTGCAGGGATGGAGCCTAATGTTTGTCCGTCCTTTCGCCAACAACAGCAGAATTTTTCTTTCAACTAAATTACGCACACTATGGTTCCTCTGCAGGTGCTTGCTCAGGGCGCGGTAGGAACTCTTACAGATAGGACAACCGATCGCCATGTATAGAACCGGGGGCGACAAAGAAGGAAACGTGAAAAGACTCAAGAAAGTTGCACTCAGCGAACTAGAAAGACCCCATGTCAAATCTCTCCAGTTTATTTTCAAAACATTGTGTTTTCCATTTGCATCATCGTGTGAAAGGTGTCCCATTTAGGCACTCGTTAGGCGGGCAGATATCCCTGTCATCTCTCGGTCCTATCCTCCAGGCAAGGCGGGAGCCAAAACTGGGTGAAATTGACCAAAAAGTTAAAATAAATACAATAAGTCATTCATGGAAAGATGCATGAAAGTGAAAAAAGTATCCAAAAATAGTGCATCATAATG